TCATTGCATGTGTGCATACATGCCATGTGCACGAGCTTGCATATGTGCATACATGACACGTGTGCTCACGTGTGCACATGCAAGATGTGCGCATGCTCGTGTGCATATGTGCACTCATGACATGCATGCTCTAGTGTGTACATGTGGCATGTGTACACACGTGTGCACACATGACTTGTGTACAACTAACATGTGCACACATGACATATATACAGATGGCCTCCCCACTTCTCTGGATCATCAAGGATACCATCCAGATTACCTTCCAGGGCTGGGACAAAGGCTCACCAGGCCCCGTCACGGCAAAAGACAGGAAGAGAAGATAGAAGTCTGGTGTCCCATCAGGGAAAGTCTAAGTGAGAAACAAACGCGGTAAAGCAGAGTGCACTGGGAGACACGAGAGGATGGACGCGGAGTCAGTGCTGCCGCCACCCTCTCGCACCTCCCTTTAGTCCCTTCAGCATTTTAAAACCAGATTTTGGTACTGAGAAATAACCTTTCTTCTTTTATTTTCAAGCTTCGAAGATCAGTTTTGAAATAAAGTTTTTTCTGATGAAATTCCAAAGGTTTTACACATGTGTGAAAGGAGAAGTTTGGCTGTTAAAATGCATTCACCCTGCCCCTTGCTGCCCTGACCCAGCAAGGTCCCACCATGCCTCTGCTTTGTTCTCCTAAATGCTGCACCAGCTCACAACCACCAGCTAGCGTGTCGTTCCAGCCTCTTTCCTTCATCCCGCTAATTAATTTTTGTTCAGCTAGAGCCTAGTGGGACAGAATCGATTTTTTTTTTTTAATTGGAAGAAATCTTTTCTGTTTCGGCACTGCTTACCACTCTGCAGCGAATCCCGTCGAGCCTCGGTCTCAGTAAGTGGGACGCCCAAGTGGCCTGGGGCTGTGTGGGTAGAAAGGTGGCCCCTGGTCTTAGCCAAAGGAATGCCCTGTTTAAGAGTTAGGATACATTTGTACTGGCTAGGGGCATGGGCCTCACATTTTTTTAACCCCTGCCTGGCTTTAGTCCCACAAAGACCCAGCTAAATAAGGTGGAGGTTAATGTTTTCCTCTTCTTTTTCATCTTACTTTTATTAAGCACTACATAATGCACATGCCACATAATACAGTGTGTAGTCTTCTAGCAGGGCTCGGTGATATGGCACGCAGCCTCCTAGCAGGGTGGGGCTCGGTGATACGGCGCGCAGCCTTCTAGCAGGGCAGGGCTCGGTGATACGGCGCACAGCCTTCTAGCAGGGCTCAGTGATGTGACGCGCAGCCTTTTAGCAGGGCTCGAAGACCATAATTGATATTTTTTTTGTCAGCCAGGAAAATGCGTCCTTAATCAATGTTCTTTAAATGCTTTGACACATGGTAACGGTGCACCCCAGAGATACACGTGCCTTTCTCCAGCAGATTCCACTGATAGGAGTCCTGGGCAGCCCTTTTTTCCCTTCCCTATTGTGAGCCTATAGGTGCACATGGCTGCCACTCCAGGGATGAGCGAGCATGCGCCATGGTGGCGATTGCAGGGAGGATTTCGAACTGTCTTCTGGCAGGGCTACCTGGGCCAAAACCCTGTTTCTAGGCCCCTTAAAGGTGACCGGGCTTCAGCTCCCTTCCCAATGAGACCTTTAACAACCTGTAGGCCTGCTGGGGGTAAATTTTATTTTATTTATTTTGAGACAGTCTTTCTCTGCTGCCCAGGTTGGAGTGCAATGGCATGATCATCACTCACTGCAGCCTTGACATCCCAGGTTCAGGTGATCCTCCCACCTCAGCCTCCTGAGAAACTGGGACCACAGGCAGGTGCCATCACACCCAGCTAATTTTTTTGATATTTTGTAGAAATGGGATCTTGCCATGTTGCCCAGGCTGGTCTTGAACTCCTGGCCCCAAGGGATCCACCTGCCTCAGCATCCCAAAGTGCTGGAATTGCAGGCATAAGCCACCAAACCTGACTGAAGTGAATATTTGAGCCTCTAATGCTCCATGTTATAGTTTTGCTGTTGTGGTGGTTGTAAGACAATAAACTTTGATAGATCATTTTCTTTTCTTTCTTTTTTTTTTTTTTGATATGGAGACTTGCTCTGTCACCCAGGCTGGAACACATATGCATGATCTGGGCTCACTGCAACCTCTGCTTCGCAGGTGCAAGCAATTCTCCTGCCTCAGCCTCCCAAGTAACTGGAATCACATCTCACTAATTTTGTATTTTTAGTAGAGACGGAGTTTCGCCATGTTGACCAGGCTGGTCTCAAACTCCTGACCGCAGGTGATCTGCCTGCCTCGACCTCCCAAAGTACTGGGATTACAGGTGTGAGCCACCATGCCCAGCCTGATAGGTCAGCCTGAACATCTCTTCCCTGTACAGGAATTAGACCTTAAATGTTTTTGTTGGATATTCCCCCTCAAGATAGTCCCTAAACTTCAAGTTTAAAAATAGCTCTTTAGCACACGATTTCTCCCACAGAGTGTAGTAATGTAGACATGAAACATTCAGGTGAACTTGTTAGAACTAATGGTTCTATAAATAAAAACTGACGTCATTCATAAAGTTATTTAAATACGTTTTGTCACTAAAAGAAATTATGTCATTGCCAATAATAATTTTAACTGTGGGTTTTCTTTTTGTATAAAAGAAGCCAAGACCCAGGGTTTTTTTTAGCAAGCTGACAGGATCCTTGGCTGGGGTTCTCATCCTGCCCCTTCCTGCTTCCAGCTCAGGATGATCGGAATGTGGTAGAAGCCTGGCTGAATCCTAAAGACTGCCTCAGAGTGAGAGAGGAAAGGCTCAGCTACTCTTTGGCCACCTGGAACGCGCAGCTTCCTTTTCCTCCTGGGATATGGGGTCTGAGGAGGCATCTCCTTCCTGGAGGCCACGTCCATCTGCATTGCAGGGCATTCTGTGCAAGGTTCCCCTCGAGTTTCTTCAGCTGAGCTAGTAATTGCTTCATCAGCAACAGGCTGATAGCGCCCCTCTTTAACTTCAATTTATAAAAGAGAAGAAAAAGTAAGCATCTTACAGTTTCAGAACCTCCTTTCCTCTGGGAGTATTCATATTGCTCCCGGCTTCCTCCTGAAGCCCCATCAAGAATCCTGTGCCTTCTGCTTATGCCCTCACCCCTCGAGTTTAGGCAGCTCTTCAGCTCTCACCAGAGTTTCTTCCACAGTCAGAGCCCTTGTGCCAAGCTCACAAACCCTCTCTTATTTCCACATCGCGTGTGCGGCAGGCTCATTCTTTCCAGAGTAGAGCTGAGCTGTGCCCTCAGCCCACCCTCCCCTTTTTAATTGATCCCAGCTCCTTCCCTCACCTGCACCCTGGGCGAGTCTCTCCCCTTCCTTAGGCCTTTGGGATACCTCCTCCCTCCATCACCAACATTAGCAGTTGGCTCTTGGGTCGGATCGGTTTTTTAAAATAAAGAGACGAAGTGTCACTTCAAGGGAGATACTGCTTTTTCAGGAGAAAAGTTGGGTGCTTTTCAGCCAGGCTGAAATCCAGGAGCTACGTCTCACTGGCTCGCTTGCTGGCCCAGCTCCCCACTCAGGCATGCCCACCCCTGGAGCCCCAGTGTGTGCCAAACTCAGTGACACATGTTTATGTCATGTTTGTGTCATGACCTCCAGGACTTCCACCAATCCTAGCCACCACAAATGTTGTGTTATTTTTTAAATTTATTGCATTGTATTTTAGATTTGGGGGTACCTGTATGTTGTGTACTGGTAGGGATTGGGCTTCCAGTGTACCCCTCGGATGTTGTAGTCTCAGATCCCAGAGAGAGTCAGGTTTCAGGCGCAAGGACACAGCTGCCAGTACTTCCGTTTTCTCTGCATTTTGTTACACCTCAGACAACACTTAGGTTGAGACTGAATGGAAACAGGGAAGTGTTGCCTGTCATTCTACTGAGGGAGAGCGGGTGGTGTGTGTTCAGGATTTTACAGGCAGAGCATTTAAAGCCCACCTTGTGTTTTCTGAACCTTAGGCACAAATGAAATCACAGCTTGGTGCTTGTCCAGTAGCTTTGCTGGAGTCAAGCTAAGAGCCCCTCTCCACCAAAACCAGACAATAAAAGCAAGCAAAAATCTTGTGCTTTCAAAATACGTCCGGCAAAAGGCGAGCTGGGGACTTGTTCACAATAAAGACTGAGCAGAAAGCAAATGGCCATTCTCCCCCGTCCTTGAGCTCCTGGACCCCACGGTCAGTAGCCCTGCACTCTCCCTTACTGTGGGGCAACCTTTACTTTTGATTGTGGGGTCCCTGCCAGGTGTTTCCACTGACCTAATAAATAATTATGTAACAGTTAATATGCAAACAACATCCGGTTCTGTTACTTGCCTGCCAAGCCACACTGAGCAAGCCAGTAAACCTCTCAGCGCCCAGGCCCAGCCTCACCAGGCCCAGGGTAGAGGCCAGGACAAACCAGATAATGGGCGTGAAACCCCTAGGTACCCTGTTGGGCACCATACACACGTTTGTGTGTTTCTGAGAAACCTATCATTTCTAAGCTGTTCAGGGGCCTCTGGGCTGCTCCTTTTGGGGGCCTTTCTGACCCCCGGCCAGAGCCAGCCTCCTCACTCCACATTGGCTCTGAGCTTTGCCTGCCTGCTGGGTTTCTCTTTTCCCGGAGGGTTTGGTACTTCGGATTCACGTGATACGCTTCTTCCCCTGGAGCGTTAGGGAAAGTATTTTTAAGAAGAGGCTGCTGGGCGCGGTGGCTCAAGCCTGTAATCCCAGCACTTTGGGAGGCCGAGGCGGGTGGATCACGAGGTCAAGAGATCGAGACCATCCTGGTCAACATGGCGAAACCCCGTCTCTACTAAAAATACAAAAAATTAGCTGGGCATGGTGGTGCATGCCTGTAATCCCAGCTACTCGGGAGGCTGAGGCAGGAGAATTGCCTGAACCCAGGAGGCGGAGGTTGCGGTGAGCCGAGATCGCGCCATTGCACTCCAGCCTGGGTAAGATGAGTGAAACTCCGTCTCAAGAAAAAAAAAAAAAAAAAAAAAAGAAGAGGCCCAGGCCTCCTGTTGGCCCTTGCGTTTCATGGTGGTCCCCCTCATTCCGGCCTGCAGTTTGCCCTCCCTGGCTGCAACATCGCCCGGTCTTCTGGGTATCTTTCTAAGCTGTTAGGTTCCATTGAAATGTGTCCTTCTGTACTTTATTGTGACCAGAGTCCCTTGAAAAAATTCAGGGCAGATTTTCAAATGGCTAGAAGTCATTACTCAGGGAAGCACAGAAGGGGTTAAGGAGGGAACTCAAGAATCCAGCACAGGTTAGAAATACTCTGTTCCTTAGCTTCAAAATAGGAAGAGCTCAATTTGAATTAGGTCGGGAGAGAAACCGAAGGAAAAGCCCTCTGTCTGGAATCCAGAAAAGGCATTCACAAGACATCTGAATGTGTTATCTTTTTTTCCTACACTGAAAGTCAATACCTTAGAAACCGTGAATGCTGGGAAAACTCACTGAGGATATACAGACGGACAGCTAAGGACCTCTCAGGGTTCCTTTCATCCTGCGGGTTTTAGGGGCTCCCATCACAGCAGGTCTGAATCTAAGAGAACCCCCAGGCTGGGCTACACGCTAAGGAAGAAGTAATCGGTTGGTGAGTAGGGCCTCTGACTGTGCTTTGGCTCTGGTATTTCTTGAAGCCTTGTCACAAACTCAGTTAGAGCATCACGAGCCTGGCCTACTGAGTGGTCCCAGTGCTGGCCTCCCCTTGACGGACGTGTGGCTCCCTTGCCTCTCCCAGCCATAAAACAGGCCAGTTGTGTTTTCCTCGGGGGACTGTGACCCACAGGGACAGTCTAGCGTGGTGCTCAGCACAAAGTCCAAAGCTGTCTCCAAGACACAGCTGTGACCAGGGCTGCATCACTGCCTACCCCCAGCACGGTTAGTCCTTCTGGGTAATGGAGAGGCCTTTTGCTGCAGAAAAGCTTCACAGAACTGTGCCCGTGAGATCACGAGACCCTCACCCCAACAGCATGCTGGCACCCAGCCCACAGCAGCCCTTCTCATGGTGCCTTGTGCCTGCGGTCCCAGAGCCAAAGACTCCGGAGGCTTGGGGCTAAGGTTGTGTATTTTTGCAAGCAGGCCAGGCGACTGTGGCACACCTGTGGGTTTGAGAGTTTTGGAGCGGAAGAATGCCTCTTCTGGATGTGAGGCAGCTTGGAGGATGCAGTTTTTATAGCGCTCACAGAGGCTGTACTCACCTGCAACCATCTTGCCTGCCCCACTCGCCTGGACCTGCCACTCTCTCGCAAGGGCCGCTTGTCTCGGAGCCAGAATCGCCAGCTCCAGCCCACCCATCTCGAGGGAGAGAAGGGGCTCTGGGGCTCAGTGATGGTTTTCACAGGAGACTTCATGAGTGGAGCTGCCCTTGTTGGGAAGCAGCTTCCCCTGCGATTTGGGGCATGTGCCATGGACTTTGAACTTGGGGCTCCCACTTGAAACCACAACTTTTCCCCAGCCATGGCCTCTGCCGTGTCCTATAACTCAGTCTTAGTGGCTCTAGAGGATGTCTTCCTGTCTTCTTGAGGGGTCCCCTGGGGGTCCCCAAATCAATTGGCTGTGTGCCCCCTGGCCACTGAGCCTGCAACACTCTGCCCAGAGCTATGGCTCTGGCTCAGACCTCCCTGGCAGGGTGGACGAAGCTCCATCACCATGCAGGTGGCCAGCCCTCACTGCACGATGAGGCAATTTTGCTGCCGCCTTGCTGGACACATCCCTGGGAAGGTCACAGGCACTTGGGCCTCAGTGTCTCCATCTGAAAAAGGAAAGCATTCCACAACATGTGGCCAAACTAAACTTCTGGCTCGGATCTTCCCACATTCTTTGGTTTGTTTATCCTCAGAATTCTAACATCCCTGCTTCAGCTCACATCCAGCTACGCTCTCGATCATGCCAGGAGATGCCCCCAGATCTCTGCTTCTGCTCACCTCCCATTGATTGCAGAAACATCTGCTTGGACTCCATGTCTTTCTCTATCCCCTCGTGTAGTGATGTGGAATCAGGAGTAGCCAAGCAGCTAATGGCAAGCCAGAAGGATGGGCATCCCCTCTCCCTGACCGGGGTCTGCAGAAGGGAAGGCCAAAGTGTGGGTTTAGACCTCAGCATGTTGGGGAGGTGGTGCTGGGGGTGGTGGCGGGCAGGGGAGATGGGAAGGATGGCAAGTTTCAGAGCGATCTCCAGATGGAATGAGAAGGCTCCCTGGGTTCAACCCTGGCCCCACCTCAGCTGGCCAGGTGTTCTTGGGCAGGTTTTGTTTTTTTTTTTTTGAGACAGAGTGGGCAGGTTCTTTAACTGCTCTTTGCCTGAGTGGCCTCTGTAAAATGGGAATAGTAATAATAATAATAATAATAATATACACACCTACCTCACGGGGTTGCCTTGAGGATGAAATCAGTCAATACTCAGAAAGCCCCAAGACTACAACCTGGCACAGAGCAAGCATTTGAAAAACATGAGCCGCCACCACCACCCTCTTTGGGATTAACCAGACTGGAGAACTGCTGACTGTTTTGAGGTCTGGGGACAGGTCCCTGTTCTTCCCAGGCCCTGGGGCCAGACATCCAGGTAGGTGGTAGAGCTATTCACGGGGATCAGGAAAACAGAAACTGGAAGCTCATAAGGGAAAGGAAGTCCACCCGTTCTTTTTTGGTGGAGGCCAGGAGCGATGCCTTGCTCCAGTTCCATTGTACCCACCTGGGCCTGTGGGTGGCCGTCACAGCACCCCACAACCCCCGCAGCCTGGCCCGGTGGCTTCTGCAGGGATTGCTGTCTGTTGTCTTTGAATCACACTGCTGGAGAGTAGTTTGCATAGATTCCCAAGTTTGTAATTAAAACAACCGAGAAACAATTTTCACTATATATATATTAAAAAAAGAAAAACAAGAGCTAAACAGAAAGTCTCTTTTAAGCAGATGTTGTGCTGTGAGCCATGTAGAAAAATTATTTTATCATCAACCAAGCCTGCGTATCTCAAGGCCTGAAAGAAACTAAGGGGATGTCTTTTCTACTAACCCAGCATTTTTTAGCTCCTAATATCATTTCACATTTAAAGGTGACAGCAATATCTTTAACGTTTTTCTATTGGATTAATAACATTTAATGTTCAAAGCCATAAAGCGAAATGTTTTCGTGAGGGTGCTTTACATCACTAATAGAAAATCCAAGTTAAAAAAAAAAGACCACACATACCATGTAATAGACGTGGAGAGCTGTAAACCCAAAAAGGGAACCCAGGCGTGGAGGTGGGAGCCTGGGCATAGAGGTGGGTTCCCTGGGTGGATGGGCAGGTGGGTGCCCAAGGCCCTGAGCCCTGACTGGCCAGCCAGAGCCAGGAGGGGGTGGGTGCTTGTGGGGGTGAGAACACACCCACCCACCAGCCATTCATCTCCACCCAGCAGCGGAATATGACAATGTTAGCATTTTTCATTTCCCTGACGTTACCATTAATAAAGCAATGATCCAAAAGAGGCTTCGCTGAGTCTGTGCTTTATGCTCCCATCACTCACGACTAGATAATTTCACACAGGATCGTTTTAAAATTAAATGACGATAAAAACGCTCTGCTGTTCTGTGTTCACCAGTTCATAGAAGTCTATCAAGTCATTAATGTGTCATGACAAACTGCTCGATGGATACAAGAGTAATTAATTATTTGAATAAATAACAAGTTGAACTTGGAGCTTTGAACCACAATGACATACGCATCCCATTAGGGGCGTCTTGGAGCCTCCGCAGGGCACCGGTATGAAGAGTTAAAATGCAGGCCAGGGTATTGGAAGTGATGAAAACCAATTTCGTAAACACAGGGTAACATTTTACAGGGAGAAAGCCGAAGTGTCACATTTCTGTGCCCACATGAGGTTCAGTGTTAAAAGTTCCCTGCCAGCGGCCATTTCAAGATGCCACTTGATCAGAGATGATTTCAGAGAACAATTATACAGATTTTCATAATCACCATTAATCTCTGCATATTTTTCAAGATAATTACAGCAATTATTATTTAGATTTCTCTTTTATATGCCCATTGTAGAAAGGAACAAGTGCTTATTATACTGGATAGTTGAGAGAACCTTGGATGAGAATTCTTTGTCATCTCTGCACTCATTACTTCAACCCGCGTTGCCTCTGAAAGTTCATCAGCTCCAGAAATTAGAATAATACCAGCAGCTCTGTTATTAAATCTTAAGGTTGAGCCGAGACCGTGGTTAGAGTGGCTGGCTGAATTGTTCATTTGTGGGACTGCCGAGCTCAGGTGGAATTACTGTCAGGTGGCAGGAGATGCCCCTGACAGGTACAGGCAGAGATGGGTGGCTGCCTCACACCCATTTTCCCTGATAGGCTTACTGAGTGAACTCACAACCAATATTTAGAGGATACATTTTCGTGACATGCCCTTTAAAGGTTAATATTAAATCTTAAATCTGCATAATTTATGGCATTCCACCTCATAGACACAGCGACCAGACAGAAGGCAGCACAACACTTTCCTTGATATTTCCAAATCAAAGTGCTTGTCAGCTCGGGCATCAGCTCCATCTCAAGGTGCACCTGCTGCCTTATCCCGCTGTGGTCCTGCAAGCTGGTCCATTGGAGTTGAGTCCTGGGCCGGTGGGTATGTTGTGTGATGCTTTCAAGAGAAGCCCTTTCCCGGGGAAATGGTTCTTAACAGTCCTGCTGGTTGGAAGTGCACCTCTGGCTAGGTTGGTGTGTGTCCTCCTGCACCCCGTCCCCACAAGAGGCGTGGGTTCTAAGAGCTCCCATGCTCTCACATACACCATGAGGACCGTCAGCTGCATCCAGCTCGGCTAGATGCCATGAGTCGCTATGTGAGGGGTAGGAAAGCCAGGTATTCAGTTTTGAACTGAGAAGTCCAGTATTTCTGCTTGCTATAAAATGAGAAAAATACAAGGCATAGAAATGCCTTTTTCCTCCATAAATTGTTTTATTATAAATAGATGTACTGATTCAAATGTACTCAAGCAGTACCAACTCACACAAGGTAGAAGTGGGGTTTAGATGGCTGCTGACGCTCTGTGACAGGTCCCTCTTTATTGGTCTGACCCTGGCCACCATGGTGACTCATCTTTTGGAATCACCTGGTGACTCTAGGGAGGAAGAAGCCTGGGGCCCTCTCAGCAGCCTCTCCCAGGTGGCCACCCCCCGAGGGGTCACCCCCAGCCTGAGCTCCGAAGCTTCCATCCCTGATTCTCTGGGTTCTCTTGAGGGTCCTCAGGTTCTGGGGAACTTGGTCCCCCTAATCAAGGTCAGAAGATCCCTGTGCTGTGGTACCAGATGTCATATTTTAGACCATTCTTTTTAACCTGTAGGGAGTCTTTTTGAAATCTTAAGTAAAATTTGTATCAAGATTATAGCTTTCCAGTTTATGCAATACTCAAGCCTACTGTCTTCACTCCAGTACTTGGGCAGATAAATGAAGGATTAAATCATGGAATCCAAGCAAGGAGTTGGAATGTTCCTCTTTCATAGAGTCCTAGAGAATCCCCATTGTGAAGCAGTTTCTTCTGGGCACATGACTTTATTCACTCATCTGTCCATCACCTCGTCCAGGCCTTAACTACCAAGAGTCCCCCTGAGCTACAGGCACTGGGCCAACAGGGACCATGGTTCCCTCATGGAGCTCATGAGCAGGGGAAGACATCCGGTCAGATGATTGGAGCACAGTCATCCTGGGAGCACAAACCATCCACTCTGATGTGTGGTAGCTCAGGAGGCAGCCCAGGGGGTAACGTTTCTGCCCTTTGAGGAGTTCACAAGCGGGTAAATAGGAAAGGGCTCCCCAGGATGAGCCTACAGCAAGGAGAAAGGCCCATCACCAGCAGAAGGCTGGACTCAGCAGGAAGTGGATAGCAGGCCAGGGTAACTACAGCCCGAAGTGTAGGGAGCAGAGTGGTGGGGAGGACAGAGCAGCTAGGGAACAATGCAAGGTTGGGATCAACCTGGAAGGGCCTGGACCATGGCATTTGACATCATCCTATAAGCTTTAGGAAACCACTGAAGTTTTTAAGTAAAGGAATGGCACACAAGGTCTGCACTTGAAAGAGAACTCTGGCAATACTGAGGTGGGAATATTTGTCTTGGCCATGAATGGCGCCTGCTGGGAGAGAGCCCCAAGGACACTCCCTAACATCCCTTAACTCCGTGGAGCTTGCCTTCACTTTCTCACCCTTCTTGATTGTATGTTCTCCGCTTCCATCTTTAGATGACTTCTTCAGGTCACTTGTGAAGGTGTTACCCTCTCTTCCTTCACATGGTGGAAGGCAGTGGATTTAGGAGATCACCATGTTTGCCCAGCTCTGCCCTAGACCAGCTTTGTGGCCCTGACAAGTCCCTTCCCTTCTGGGCTTCAGGCTCATTCTGGGGGGTGTGGGAATGCCAGTGCCAGGGCCATGGTGAAGTTTAAATGAGAACACCTGTAACTCCTGCTGCGCTTTGCTTCCTTTAGACAGATGCTCTCTTGTGCTTGTATTGGCTTCAGACACCCAGAGCATCCAAGACGCCTTCTCTCTTCTTGCCCCTTGGTTCCAGGGGAGGAAAGGGAAGCCCCAGGATATACTTTTACCTTTGCAGACCATTTTTGAGAAGACTTTATGAGTAGAATCTGGATGAGGGCCACAGAAATCAGCTGTCATTTAGGATGAGCCTAGCTTGGGTTTCATACATTGATCCTCTGGGGTTTAAATCCAGGTTCTCAGGTCACCAATGCGTATTTAATACTTGGGGTGACTTAGCATTTGTGAGAATGAAGACTGTCAGAGCTGGATTTTAAACATCATCTAGCCCAGGGCTTCTCAAACCTAGTTGCACATTAGAATCACCTGGGAGCTTTGAAAAAATGCTGATCCCCAGAGCCCACCCCTCAGACCAATTGAATCAGAACCCCTGGGGTTGGGGTTGGCAGGCAGCGATAATGTTTTCAAATTCACCAGATGAGCACCAGGATGAGTCACTGATCTAGCCCAACCCTTTTGCTCTTAGATGGGGACACCGAGACTTGATTGGCCCGTAGCTGGGAACCCTGATGCCAAGGCCAGTTCTCTTCCCATTGTTACTTATTCAGTAGGTTTCTTTGGAGGCCGTTATATGCTGGGCACTGTTCTAGGAGCTGGGGGTGCAGCCATCTTGGAGCTTACCCTCTAAATGCACGAGTGGCCTCCAGATTAGTAGGGGCTGGGGGTGGGGGGAGCACACTGAGGTTGGGTCCTTCCAGCAGTGGGTCAAGAAAGTCTTTCTCAGCCTCTGCACATCATCGGATGGTAATGATAATAATAGCTAATACCCACTGAACATTTATTTTATATTCGCTATCTTTCTGAATCCTTGCATCTCCCCTAGAATAATTAGCCCCATTCCAGAGACTTAATAGGTGTGTTTCATGGGTGCAGAGCTAGTGCCTGGTGGGCCTGGCATTTGAACCTAGGACTGTCTGATACCAAAGCCCTTTCTCTTAACTCACTTTATTCTAAGACAGAAAGTATACAAAGAGAGCAGGTTCTGGAGAAATCTATCTGAACTTCCTCTCAAAAACGTAGCCTCTTCATCAGTTAGTTTTTGTTGCATAACAAACTACCCGAAAACTTAAAGCTTAAAAAAACCAACATTTATAATTTCTCGTGGCTCCATGGGTCAGTGAGCAATTATGTGTCTCGGTTAGCCTGGCTGTGGCTGGATGGCCTGGGATGGCTTCACTCCCTTGTCTGTAATTGGCAGGCTGGCTGTTCCAGGTTTGCTTTAGCTGGAGATGCTTGTCTTTGCTCCACATCATCTCTCATGCTCCAGGAGGCTTCTCTGAGCCTGTGCACTTGGCCAACCCAGCACTCCAAAGCAAGGGAAGTGTAACTGGGGTTCACAAGCATGTTTATGTCTCTGCTGGTGTTGAAACTGCTAATGTCCCATTCACCAAAGCAAGTCACATGGCCAAGCCCAGATTCAAGGTGTGAAGCAATAGATTCCACCTCTTGGTGGGACAAATGACGAGCCATATTGCTAGGGGCACACATACGAGGATAGTGCAATTTGCAGCCATTTTTGGTGTCTCCCACTGCAGACCGCACCAAAGAAGTCTTTCGGCCCTGACAGGTGCCAGTTGTTAAGGAGGAAAAAAGGATCGTATTGTTTCATTTACTTGCATATACTTTAGAGCACTTTCTATGGTACCCTAGAGATAGAAACTTTATAATTAAGTAACTCTGGTGTTTGCGATCATTTCTATTACAAATTGGATATCAGCCCTGGGATAAACCTATAATAATAACCTTGTGTATGCCACTCACTTTTGTGGGAATCAGATTTTTTTTTTTTTTTTTGAGACAGGGTCTAGGTCTGTTGCCCAGGCTGGAGTACAGTGGTGCTATCTCAGCTCACTGCAACCTCCACCTCCCGGGTTCAAGCAATCTTCCTGCCTCAGCCTCCGAAGTAGCTGGGACCACAGGGGTGCACCACCATGCCCAACTAATTTTTGGATTTTTTTTTTTTATTAGAGACGAGGTTTCACCATGTCTCCCAGGCTGGTCTCAAACTCCTGAGCTCAGGTGATCTGCCACCTGGGCCTCCCAAAGCGCTGAGATTACAAGTGTGAGCCACCGCACCCAGCCAGAAATGAGATTTGATTGAAGTAATTTAAACTGAACATCACCTTTTCTGGGGCTGTAATGTGAGGACCCTCCCGGGTGCTATAGATCTTATCCTTAACTTCAGCATCCTGTACCTTGTGTAATATCCCTTGTTGACACTTTCTCATGGTGAGATCTGTTATGCATTTTGGCAGGAATCCTCCTGAAGCCATCGAGAGTCTCACTCTCAGTGCATCTTGTCGGGAGGCCCCCGGTGCTGGAGTGAAGTTAGCTTCCGTCACCTGGTGAAGGTGCTGTGGCAGGCTTCTTCACTTTCGTGGGGAATACAGTAGGCCTATGTGAATACTTTGTTCCTCATCAGAGTTTCACCTGCCACTTTTAGCATCCATTGATCTTTATAATTCTGCCATTTCTCCAGTAGATAAGGAAGAGCTTTCCGTTATCCTCAGCCGGTTTCTTTCCTTATATTTGTATGGACTAGGGTATTCTTACTCATTCTCGTCATTTTTATTTTGATGCTCAAATGGATTCATATTTAGCCCATGGGAAACCCTTTAGGCTGGCTCTCAAGCTCTTCCGCTGTGTCCCCATGATTCTTCGAGAACCTCCTTACTTTTTGGAACAACAAGATGTTCCTGGCTTTCTCCCTTCCTGCCCAGCACTGAATCAGCCACTTCTCTAAAGAGCTCCCGTCTCTTTTAGAGGAAATGCTAGAAAGCAGAGTTGGGTGTGAGGAGTGCCCACTGCCTCTGAGCTGTCATTGACTCAGCAGAGAGAAATGTATGTACACATATAAGTGTATATATATAAGTGTACGCACACACATACATAGATGTGCACTTATGTATCTGTCTACAACTACATATTAAAACCAAGTTTATAATGATACCTCTGATTTTAATCCAGTATCACAGAGTACATTCCGATCTTCTTCCCGTTGTTTTTGCCAGCTTCTCTTCCTCCACGTAAGCACTGAACTAAGTTAACATTCCTCAGCTCTGTCCCGGGCCTGCCTCTCTTCTCACTGTGTTTTCTTCCAGAATATTTCATCTTCTCTCATGGCCTCCATTATCAGCATGCAGGTTATTCTACACTCAGCCTCACATCCCCGCCCACCAGGCCTCATTTCTGGATCTCCACCCGGCAGTCCTCACCCACCCATCTCGCGTTCTTGGTCACGACATTCTAGCCAGTGTTGACCAGTTGCCTCGCGTTGGCTGTCTCCCAAGCCGCTCAAACCTGACACATGCTCTGCAGCCCCCACCAGTTCATCTATGCCGCTTTTCCACTGGCCCCCGTGCCCCTGCCAGTACCTGGCCTTTCATTCTCCCAACTGTTGAGGCCAGGATCCTGGAGTCACCCTTGATTCCGCCTTGCCCTCTGCAGCCAGTGGCCAGGCCTCTTGATTCTTCCATCTAAATGTCTTCCAATGCAGATATGTTACCACTAGCTCCACACCTGGGGGTGGATGTGCTGCTCAGCCTGGGGGGCAGGTGTGCTTAGCAGTCACGGCCATGCCTGCCCCAGCCTGTCAGGCCCTTGCTGTCAGTTACCACTCCGCCCCGGTGGCTGTAGATGACTGCCTGTTTTAGAGCCTGCCTCCCTCCTGACAATGTGGTCGCTGCTGGTGGTAACGTGGCAGCATTGGACCCTGGTTCTGCTTTTTATTCTGCATCTACAAAGCTCCTTTGGTCTCGAGCTCACTGAGGAGTTTCTGTGTTTGTCACTGCAGGCAGCAGGTGTGTGCACTGACCCAGTGGCCCCTCAACCACCAGGACACCTTTGTACTCACGTGGACAGGCATCACTGAGTTGAGTTTTATCTTTACCTTGAGCAAAATGCAGTTGGTCTCTGCCCGAAGCCATTAAATATTTATAAAGTTAAAAAACGTTTCTTTAATGTCTCTGAGCCTCTCTTTTCTAAACTGTAGAAGAAAGAAAATAACAATACCTGGATTGCTATGATGTTTAAATGAGATAAAAACATAAAGCCCTAGGTACAAACTAACTGCCCAGGACCTGTTCACCACCAGTGTTAGTATTACTGTTATTCTGTACAGGGGAAAATACCCTTTCGCAGTAGACCCCTTTCTGCCTGCTTTCACATGAAAACCAGAGTGCAGCCATATTACATTACATAACCCAGGGGCTGTGAGACCCGATCCGAAGACATTTGGAAGGACAAAAGCAATGTTTGCCCAGCAGTAACCCATCGGGTTCCCCAGACTGTGGCTCTCCCTGGCAGCTGCTGTCTCTGGTGTTGCAAGTCAAGCTCGACTAGGAAGCAAGATCCAAGCTTCTGAGGCTCAGTGAGAATGTTCTTGTTGTTGTGTGTTGAGTTTCTCATGGGTGTGGAATGTGGGGCAGCTGCCTTCCCTCTGTGCTCCCGTAGCTTTCAGAGAACCGCCCTGGACCTGGATGAGGTTCTGCAGCCCATACTGGGCCCTGGAGGGATGGACTATCCTGAAGGAGGAGGTGGGCAGGCTGGTGGCTCTAGATTCCTCCCAGGACACTGGAGATGCAGAGGGATGAAGCAAGCCCCTTGATTATAGTCTTCTGTGTAGAAACGGAGAGCCTGGAGGGAGGCTGTGTGTGTGTGTGTGTGTGTGTGTGTGTGTGTGTGTGTGTCCGCACGCTTATGCCAAATAGAACCTCAGAGAATGTTCGTTTGTGTTGTGAGGCACCTCAGGCTTAGGGACCCAGTGAGTTACTCCTTGGCAAACACCGCTTCCGTCCCTCCAAACGTCTTTGGATCGAGTCTCACAGCCCCTGGATTACGTAATTTAATATGGCTGCACGTATGTTCTTATGTGAAAGCAGGTAGAAGGGGTCAACTGTGAAAGTATATTTTCCTCTGTACAGCAGTAATACTAACGCTAATACGAACAGCTAACAGTCACTGAGCAGTTACTTTGTACCTAGGGCTTTATGTGTTTATCTTGTTTGAATGTCATTGCAGTCCAGGTACTATTATTTTCTCTCTTCTACAGCTGAGGAAAGAGAGGCTCAGAGAGATTAAACACTTGCCTTAAATTACAGAACTAGTCAGAGGTAGGGCCTGTTCTGAACTCATTTCCTGCAGAAACAGTCAGCTGCTTTCCACACAAAACGGCAGCCATGCCCCCATTTTCTGAGTGGCTGCTGTGGTCGGGCTGTTCTTTCCCGTTGCTATCTGGTCCCTCGGCGGTGCCGCGGAGTGGGTACGATTATCCTCGTCTGACAGACGAAAATCTGACTTGGAGGTTAAGTGACTTGCCCAAAGCCACACGGCTAACAAGCGCAGGGCCCGGCTCGGCACTCACACGTGTCCGACTCCGGTGCCTGTGCCCCTTCCTCCCGAGCTGCCTCTCACGCAGGGGCTGATAAATCACTCCTTTTGGCTTATGAATAACATGGCAAAACAAATTGCTTTGGGGATCTAGAAGGAAGTTGTTGGCCCTGTGTAAACTCAATTGGAATGTCACTGAGCAGACAGCTCTGGAGGCGTCTACAAATATCTTCCAAGGAATATCCCCAAAGTGAAATCACCAAGAAAGCACAACAGGCTCCGTGTTTTGGTTTGCAAATGAGTGTTGAGAAATGGCCTTGAGATCTTGAGTTGCTGGCATTTTTCCCATCACAAATTGTAAAGGACTTTTGAAACACCACAGGAAAGGGGAAAGAAAGGCTTGGGGTTGCTGATTATTTACAGATCCAAGCCCCGAGCAGGTACACAGAACTAAAGGCCTCCCACCACTCCAATTGCATTGAATTTTATTCTGAAAATGACTGCCTGCCAGTAAGCCACACTGTTCACCATCATCTTTGCAAGTACTTCGAGGTCCTATTACCCAAGTTCACTTAACACCACTCGACAACTTTAAGCAGATAACAATTGACATGCTGGTATCGGAGTCTCTTTTTTATTTTTATT